TTAATATTCAGGAGGATGCCTATATGTTTTTCTTTGGGATCACCTTCTTATTTAGCTTCTCTAGGCCTTATGTCAAGCAAAAAGAACAAAAATGTTGCTCTTTTTCTTTCATTTTAAAACTCAGATCTTCTCACGAGTTCTGTTTTTTTTTTTTTTTTTCCATTGCCCACGCAAATGCACGGATTTTTCAGTTTGTTCCCACCACAGTTTCCCCTGGCAGGGCCCGGGAAAAAGATTTATCCTCATCAGCAAGCCTTGTTTGACAGATTGCTTCACTCCTGCTTACCACAGCCTTCCATGCCCACATGACCCCTAATCTCATCAATTACAATTATTTTATGTTCTAATTACTGAATTTCCCAATACATCTTTCGCCCTAACGCATCTGGAGCACTCAAATACTAAACTATAACTGTGTCTGCTATGAAAAATAAATACTTTTTCTTTGTGTTGATGGGTGTCACTTTTATAGATCATTTTACAAGTTAGCATCAAGGAAAACATTTCATGTCCTAAGTAATTTGAGTAACATGCTTTCAATTTTGTTGCTTATAATTCTGATATAACATTTGTCAGTTCTCTATATATTATGCTAATATTAACTACTTAAATGAGCACAAATGTACATTTTTGACAGTTTCTTGAAATGTTTCACGTTTTAAGTTCAAGTGGGACACGGAGAAAGACTGTCATTTTAGTAAGACAGTTATTAAAAGTTATTAAATCTATCAACAAATGGCAGCATGGCAGGGACACTGAGTACAGTCCAGGGTCGTGGGACTGACGGAGAGTCCATTTTTATACAATTTAGTGGAAGTCGATTGTAAAGTTTTGTTTGTGGTCTGCAATTAGGTAACCACTGAGTAGTGGTAGTCAGGTGAAGAATGTCAGGTGTCTAATGGATAAGCATCTTTCCTGACTGGGCGTGACTACTTGGTTAAGAAAGACAAGAACCTAGAGAAATGATTCAGTTCTGGAAACCAAGGTACCTTCGTTTCCATAATTAGAAGTTTGGGAAAAAATGAAAGAACTTCAAAAAATGGAATAACACTTCATAGTCCCATTAACCGAAGACTGGGAATCTTGAAATGTCTTGCACAGTGACGGTCTTTGTGTTTTCATAATTAGTCTCTTGCTTATTCAAGAGTGCTATGTTCCTTACAATAGGTTTTGTCACCCTGACAGCATATATAAACCTTTGTCACGTTTCTTCAGCCTGCCTTCCTAGCCACATCACTTTCTGTTTCTTCCCAATAATGCCTGTATCTCAGGGCAAACTGCTAATGGTCCTCCTAATGCACAGTAGCATTTCCTGTCTCTAGTCTGTCATAATGCTTTTCACTCCGCCTATAATCCCTCTATCATCCAAGATGCCAGTTTACCATAAACAGTGTGTATTTATATGATCTTTTAAAATAAAATGGATGACTAATTTTATTTATTTTGTCATATCTGGCAGTGAGTTCAATACTTGATGTAAAGCCATGTTTGTTGACTAAACATGTAATTAAATGTTCACCTGTGGAATCTGATAGAAATTAAATAATTTCGTAAATACATAAAAGTTTACTTATACAATGGAAAGTTTGTTATTTCATAACAACTAGTTAGTACTTATTACATGCTGAGTGCTCTAAAACGAGTTAAATTCACACTAGTTTTCCCAGGCAGATTTTATTCCTCTATATAATTTCAACTCCATTTTAGAAATGTAGACTGAAACCCAGGAAGATAAAAATCATCTTTCCAAGAACACTAAGCTAAATAAAAATCAAACACTGATTGAATCTTAGCTGTCTGGGCATATTAAAAGTATATTTATAAGAAATTGTTGGGACCAGTTAAGTCCTGGCCTTCAGCTGCTCTTCCCTCCTAGAGCCTTCTAATTGAAGTTACTAGAAGCTGTGTCTAGCTTAGAGGATCAGAGGATGGGATTTTCACCTGTTGGCCATTGACTGCAGTGTATTTAAGCCTCCATGGTGCTATTAAAGAGGGGCTTTTTGGTACCAGTGTTGGAAGGTCTGCGTGTCGGTCTGTCTCTGCGAGTGTATTCCTCAACCTCCAGCCCCTTGCCCAAAGTTCACGAACTGGGTTCTAGCGCATAGAGCGCAGACAGGGGCTGCGGTGTGCGGCAAGAAATGGTAATTTGTTGCATAATAAATAGTCCCACCTATGTGTAGTTCCAGCAATTCTCGTGAGAATACAGTCATTGCTTTGGACTGTAACATTTGAGGACTAGATTAAGTTCTTTAAAAGTCTTAAGAAACTGTATTAGATAATAACATCTTGGAATGCTGTTTCTCTGTGTATTCGCTCTTATTATTTCACCAGGAAGAAAATGGACAAAAATGGACCAACCAGACTTTACCAACATTATATATTTCTCTATTGTTGTCTTTGTTTTGTTCTGTTTCATTTTGTTTGTTTGTTTGTTTGTTTGAGGCATTGTCTGCTTGGCTATCCTGGAACTCATAATGTAAACCAAGCTGAACTTGAACTTGGACAGATCCACTTGACTTTGCCTCAGAGGTGCTGAGATTAAAGGCAAAAGATGTCTGTGTATCTGAAATCTTAGGCAAAACTTACAAAAATAATGCAAACAGAGACTAAATAAAAAGTTTAATGAGCAAAGTCCTAATCATGCAAGTATGAGGATCTGAATTCAGATTCCCAGCACCCATGTAAAAAGCCGGCCATGGCAATGTGGGCCTGTAATTCTATTGCAAGGTGATGATAAAGACGGAGATTTTTTTGGGCTCCCTGGCAGCCAGTCTAACCAAGGCAGTGAACTACAGGTTCAATGAAGACTCTGTCTTTGAAAATAAGATGAAGAGTCATAGGGAAAGAAACCTGGTATAGATTATGGCTTATACACACATGTACTCCCCACACACATGTACTCACACACACTCTCTCTCTCTCTCTCTCTCACACACACACACACACATACATACATAATGCATACACGCACATACACAACACAAACACAAAAGTTTCTAAAACACCTTAAAAGTGGTGTAAGAAGCCTTGCAGTGTCCAGTGAATAAGTTACATCATATATGGCAGATGTATTGGGAGCCCTACAAGCTTTATTGTGTGGTTGTGATAAAATACCATGACTAAAAGCAACTGAGAGAAACAAGAGGTTTATTTCATCTTACAATTCTAGGTAATAGTGGAGAAGTCAAGACAGGAACTTCAAAAAACTAGTCATATCATAAAAGTCAATACCAGAGAAAAATGAATGCCTGCAAATTCACTTGCTTGTGCTCAACCTCATTTCTGTGATTTCTCCAACCTAATATAGCTCAGGACAGCATTCAGGAATGTTGCTGCCCACAGAAGCTGGGCCTAACACATCAATTAAGTTGATTAACACAATCTCTCACAGACATGCCCACAGGATATCTCTAATCAAGACCTGTCTTCCTAAGAAATCTGCAGTTGCATAATGTAGGCAATGAAAGTTAACCCTCACAGGCTCTAAGTCTGATTTGGAATATTCATTTTGCTGGCCTCGCCACTTTATCCACTTTTTTCTGAGACACCTCTGAGACCCTGGCTCAGTGAGGCTCAGCTTATTAATGAGAACTAAAAGAAGGGTATTTGGAATCAGAAATTTAGTGGAAGGCCTGAACATTTATTTAGGCAAGATCTTATTAAAATCTGGGGTAGTATCATGGATATCTGCAGACATCTCTGTGGGAGGGACCCACCCTACCTTTTGTTTTGCTAATGTCTTATATTGATCAATGCATATGTCATCCTTGTCATGAAATGCATCTGAATGAATGAAATTCATTGCTTCTTGGAAAATTGCTTTCTGGTGAAACAAATTTATGGAGCACACTAAAACATACTGAAGAAGATAATGCTCAATAACTCACACTTTTAAAACCTTTTTATTTATTCAATATATATAATATAATAGTATTCATATTGTGTATCATGATCCCATTCATTTCCCTGTACCTTTGCATCCACCCTCTGTTCCTAAACACTCCCCTAAAAATAAATTGAGAGGGGGGGGGGAAGGGAAAAATTAAAAATCTCACCATGGAAGTTGCAGTGTGACACAGTGAGTCACGCAGTAAGCCCCCTTGTCCATATATCTTTACTTGCAAGTGTTCGTTGCAGAGTCATTGGTCTGATTCAAGGCCTCTGGTTTCTCCTACACCATGGATGCTGGGCCCTCAATAGTATTCTTTCTGGATATCCTGTTGTTGTCCTTTGTTGTGGAGATCCTGCAGCTTTAGATCTGTACGTCAGGTCCTTTCACATGCTCCAGATAGAATGGATGTCCTCAACTTGTGACATACCAATAGCTCTGGTGGCTAAGTTGTATTCCATCTCATTGTATGACTGTGGTTTGCAGTTTTAGTCTGTTCCTCATTGTTATAAATTTGTCACCCTGGAATACTAGTGATCCAAGGGACAAGTGACTACTTTTTTGTGAAGTTATTTCAATGGAAATAATATAATACATGTAACATCTTAAATATTTTTGTAAACTTTATTAGGAATAGATGGTGGTACTCTAATGTGGTAAGTGGTTAGACACTGATCGATTTAGGCTCCATTTAAGTGAAAATATTGTATGGTTCATTTTTCTTTTTGTTTTTGTCATTTAGACAGGGTCTTGCTATATAGGTAGGGCTGTCCTCGAATGTGCTGTGTTAGAACTGTCTGCAAACTCATAGCAATCCAGCTACCTCACTCTTCTAAATATTCAAATTACAAGCATGAGCTACCCTGACTATCTTACATTTTTTATTTCCTTATTAAGAGAAACTTATCTTTGCATATATATGCCCACCAATTGCAGACTTTCCAAATTCCTTTGGTATCAAAATTATGTATAGGGAGTTCCTGCATATAGGAGCACTCAACTCCAGTTATCCCTAAGTATGGTCAATATGTCAGAGAAATTCATGCAGAATGAGTGAACATTGGAAGCTTCTGCTTTCTACTTAATTTTCTTCTCTTCTTTCTTCTAATAGGAACTTTTTACCCCTGAATGCAAGTTTAAAGAGTCTGTTTTTGAAAACTATTATGTAATCTACTCATCCATGCTGTACAGGCAACAGGAGTCTGGCAGAGCCTGGTTTTTGGGATTAAATAAGGAAGGGCAAGTTATGAAAGGGAACAGAGTAAAGAAAACTAAAGCAGCAGCTCATTTTCTACCCAAGCCATTGGAAGGTGAGTACACCATATGCATCATCCTCTTGGAAACTGTTATATACATTACACAGAAACCGTTCATAGGCTGACAGAAATGTCCTTTATTGGAGTGCTGTTTGAATATGTTTCTCCTTATTGTTCTGGGCTAAGCTTTGTGGGCACCAATATAGGTCTGGGGGTAGAACATGAGCTCACATGTGCCAAAGCCAGGATTCTCATTTCTGGACACCAAAAATGGGGGGAAAGAAGAAAAATAAAAACATCCTCCCTCCCTCTCCCTCTCCGTCCCTCTCCATCCCTCCCCCCTCTCTATTTGTATGTGTGTGTGTGTGTGTGTGCATGAGTGTGCACGCATGTACACACAACAGAAAACTTCTTTCAATGCTGCAAATCCTCACTGTCCCTAATGGTCTAAGTAGTTCATGATTTATAGTCAATTATTTGAAAGATAAAAATAAACTATGTAATTACAAACGTGTAATAAGTATATAAGAAAAACATTTTCACATAGAATTTCAAGTATTTGCCTGTTTTCAAATGGTCTGGGTAAAATATCTTTTGAATTGTTATAATTCTTGAAAATGACACTTAAAAACTCTGTAAAGTTCCATATCTCCTTCTATGCTGCATAAATTATTTCTCTTGTATTAAGGAACATGTCTACTTTCAGCTCTAAATAGAAGCTCCTTCACATTTATTTTTATCAGATCCCAAGGCCCAAGTTACCATGCTCTGTTCATTAGGAATATATGTACTTTGTTTATTAATTATTCTGCCAGAAGGATCAATCAATTGCTATTACGGTAAATTTTAAAACTGAAAAAAATGACTTTGATGCTATTCCTTTTTAAAAAATTAAAATACAATTCTATAAAAAAAAGAATCAAAATGAGGAAAATAACAAAGCAAGCAAGCTTCACAGGTGCCCTAGACTCTTGGGATAAAAGAAAATACCACCAGGTCCCTCTAGAGGTTGACATGGTGATGGTAGTGACTTCTTGTCGGTTGTAGCCCAGACTATCTACAGAATTTCTCAGTTTTCTCTTAGGACTCTTCGGGCTTCATGTTTTGAAGTTCCTCAGTATTACCTCCTACCACTGAGCTGATACAGCCCCTCTCCTATAGGTTTGTCATGTTTGAGACATGTAAGAAAAGGATGAGGGGCACAGAAAATATCAGAGACATTCCTGCTGCCATATAAACAGTATTATCACAGATAATCCTATTATTTGTTATTTCAGCCTTAAGTTTAACTGTTGTGTGAGTATGATGCACAATATGAGGAGAGAAAAATATTGTGATATGTTGGAAAATAATTCCTAGACAGAGGTATTCCAATCAAAACAAGAGAGTGTGCTCTTCTATTCCTTTAAAACACTATTTCTGAAACACAACATTTAACAGTGATGATTATTATAGAGATATTAATTTCCTTTACAAGCCCAAATAGGTTATATATTATATAATTAAAAGTTTTAGGACAGTTATAGACATTTTTACAGGGGTATGATTGTTTCTGGATAGGGCAGTCAGATCTCCCACCCAACTTTACTTAAAAGATAGTATAAGTCAAAACTTTGGTACTATTTGGTCCTAAGTTAACTAGTACAGGTGAGAAATTGGAGATGCTTTAAGAATGCAGACTTCTTTCTTTTTCTCATTTTTTTTAAAAATTAAAAATGGGTTTTTAATGCAACATATTCTGATTATGATTTTTCCTCCCCAAGGATCCTCTTAGATCCTCTCCACTTCCCTATCTACCCAAGTCCACACCCTTTCTTTTTCTCTGTCATTAGAATTGAAATTGGCATCTAAAAAAGGTAAAATATGATAAAATAAAAACAAATAAGACAAAATAGAAGAAAACATAAACAAAAAAGAAAGAAGTAAAAGAATAAGCTCAAGAAACACATATAGATGCAGAGACACACAGATTAACACAAACAGAATTAACATAAAACACAAAATAAGAAATATATATATATATATATATATATCCTATAAGGAAAGAAAACAACAAAAAGCCTAAAGCCCTGACAAAGCATTATGAGACAAAGAACTTCAAAAAAATGCCATTAAGTTCATTTTGTGTTGACCACCTATTGTTGAGTATGGTGATAAGCCTTAAGATTGGTTTGTATACCTTTAGACTCCACTGGAGAAAACTAATTTTTCATTTGTGAGAAGTTATCCTTTGGAGAGAGCTCCTGGGTTAGAGACTGACTTCTTTTACATGGTTTCTAAGTCATTTATCTCAGTATGCATTTACCTTTATTTAGTGTGCTAAGAAAATTCATGTGTTACATTGATGCAAATGTAAGATACCTCCACAGCACACATGGCATTGATTCCCGCTCAACCCAGGGTCTTTTCTGCAGCACCTGTTCTTTCAAAGCCCAAGCAGCATGTTGGGAAGAAAGACTCTAATTATATTGCTGGTGGCAGATAAGTTTAAGTCAACTAATTTCTCCACATGTCAGATATTCTTAAATAGCCTTTGCCAAGACTCTGCAAAAGCATTTCCTAAAAAGTGGCATGAACTATGGGGCTCATGTAACAAAGCACAACTCAAACAATTCCCTGATTTCCTTTCAGACATCAGTCTCCACTGCTCTTTCTATTTTATGCCTCTGTCCTACCAACACCAATTACTTAATTTTTAAACAATGCATCAGAAAAATAGATACAAAAAAATAAATGCCATACAGTTGCCTCCAGTTGTATAAAAGCCCTATTTATGATAGTGGAAAAGGAAGTAAAAGAAATTATTCACAGAAGACTCCGGCTAAAGCACAAGGAACCCTTTATTATCATACTCTGTGTAGCTTTCAAGTAGAACCCAGTATGACTGTGTGACTTTTAAATCACTGAAGAGAAAAATAGCTTAGTGATCTCTGGTGAAACCAGAATTAGGTCAAATACTTTTCTTCCTGGAGGTTGAGGAGAGAGAGACTGTGTGTGTGTGTGTGTGTGTGTGTGTGTGTGTGTGTATGCCCGCGCACGTGTGCTCATGCTTGAGTTATGTGTGCTTTTCTTTATATGTTTACAAAACGTTCATAGCTCTTAAACTTTATTAGAAAACACATCTATGTACATATGCACACACATATTTAAATATATAAATTCGAAAATACATTAAAGCTATGTCTTAATTTATAGATTAGAAATGACTGCCTTAACACTGCTGTCCTCTTATCAATGGGATGGTGTTCATCCACGAAAGACAGATACAGACTGGCTGAGGTCTGTGCAAAAAGTGGTGTGCCATTCTTGCATGGCTACCAGATAACTTCTTCTTTTTCTCTCCCTGTCTTTACATCTCTAGTTGCCATGTACCGAGAACCATCTTTGCATGATGTTGGCGAAACGGTTCCGAAAGCTGGAGTGACTCCAAGCAAAAGTACAAGTGCATCTGCAATAATGAATGGAGGAAAACCAGTCAACAAGTGCAAGACCACATAGCCAGATCCTCAGGTGTCCTGACTTACTTGTCCAGAGCACAGTGGAGTGATTTATCCTTACTAGACATTCCTGCTCCTGTGGCTGAAGAACCCCAGCAATCAAGCTGATGCTTGTTCTATGCTGTCTCAGACCTCCTTTGTTGCAAGTGGATAAATCTCAACCTGTGGTCCCCCACACCAAGAAGACACCTGGACAAACCAGCTAAACTCAGACCATGGAATGCCCTACCAGATATGGAATGCCTTTTTAATATCTTTTCTGTGACTGTGACACTTCATGTGAATGACATACTTCACAAGTACACTCAATACCTTGCCTGCTGACAGCTACCCATAATCCTTTTTTGAGTCCTGTTTCAGCGAAATCCATGTGTTTAAGTTCAATTTTGTAGCACACAAATAATATTGAGTAATTTCTAGTTAGACGCTGTAAACCTGTGCTATCATGGATTTCTCTTTTTCCCATTTTTGCAAGGCTGCTTGCTCCACTGTCTGTGACATTTAGCAGGATTGTGTTCCTCTGAATCTTCAGTGTTGTAGTTGGTTTAGTTTGGAGAACAATCAGGGAATCAGGAAGCCTTCTAAACCTATTACTACAAATCGTATCTACAAAGATTAAGGTTGTCTTTGGCTCACATTATCGATTAAACACACATATACGCTCTGTCCAGTAGGACACACTGGACCCCTGAGGTGGTCATGGCCTGGGTAGACCAAGGGTCAAACACAATCCATGGGAAGCTCTCTATGATAGGTGTTTGGCATCCCCTCTAAGTTTATTCGTGTGTGTATGTGTGTGTGTGTGTGTGTTTTATACATATCACAAGCTTACTGGTAATGGTAACATTTGCCTTGCCCAGCGAGCAAGACCCACTTGGTTTTTGAGAAAGTGGGTCCAAAGAATTCTGTAGGCCTTGTAGGCCTGATTAAGGTTCATTTTTTTCATCTATTAATCCTCATTATTGGGAAAAGGAAAAATAAAAACAAATCATTACAACTTATAAGAAATATGCTACCTAAATCCATTTCTGACCCTTTCCTCCCTTTTTTTTAATGAAGATAACTCAATGCCCCCTCCCTGATTTGGGCTGCATTCCAGTTGTCCTCAGTAGAGCATGGGCAAGGAGGCTGTGTGTTTTTTCCTGCAGAAGCAATGCACACGTTAGTATAAATTAGACTTTAATATTTTTGGTTTTTAATACAAGTTTCTAAACTGGATAATAGAAAAAAATTCCTTTTTTTTTCCACAGCTTAGCATGCTGGGTCTGGTACTGTGTGTGTCACCAGTACACATATGCCTTTAACTCAGCTCTGTAGGGTCCAACAGGTTGGGTTTGAGGTAAATTGCAAAGATATCAGAATGCAGTTTGTTGAATACCCTAGATAAAACTAAGACAAATCAACGCACTCCAGCATTGGGGATCTGGGCCATTTAATTTATTTGATTTTGTTTTCTTTTGCTTTTTGTAACTTCATTTTTAATTAAATTCTGTGAAACTCCAATTTTAAGGGTACTAAGAAAGGTGGTAAATTTCTGGAGACAAGGTTTGAAGAGTCTATATAAAATGTTCAATATTGGATTTAACGAGCTTCAAACTGTTCAATACTAAACTGTTTGGAAATACATTTGTTACCTGTGTGTACACAATAAAATTCCATGTTGTTTTTTTCTCAGAAAATCTCATTAAGACCAAACTGAACCTCTTTTCTAGAAAACAGTCTATGTGTGATCAACGTACTGGCCTCTTGTTCTGATTTCCATGTGGCAGAATAACCTAGCTGCCATTGGTCCCCATCTACACTGTGCTTACTGGGAAATTATTTTCTCATTGATTTCATGAATTTCCATGACAGCCCTTGCCCAACATAGAACAAAAATTGGCTTGCTTAGCTGATTAAAGATTCAGTATAAATTTAACTATGCTTATTTCATTTTCATATTGGTTTCCATTTTAAGAAATAACAATTAGAATAATGTTTGAATAGATTTATTGTCAATAATGCTCAATTACAAAAAATGATTCCTTTGACCATTACTGATTTGCTGTTATGCATAATTAGACAAAACCCATTAAATGATTATTTAGGGAAGACATACATACCATAATATGTGGTAAAATGTGAATAATTTGCAACTCCTTTTAGTTGGCCTTATAAACACAATTTATACCCATCCACATGTACACACACCCCAAAACTAGCCTACCTTTCTGTTTTGGCTAGCCAGCATTAGTTGAAATTTCTGTTCTGAAGACCTGGCTAGTGGTTAAAATTAAGGCAAGATTTATTTTTGTAAATGATTGAGATTCATGTTAATGTTTTCCTGTTTTGTTTTCCAAGAGTTGTCAGTTGTCTATGAGAGAATGTATTACTGTAATCCTAGTGGTTTCTTTCTAAAAATATATGTTTAGATACATTGCAGAGGGGTTCTTGTTATACCTTTGATTTAGTTAGACCATTTCTTTGTGTCTGGTCTCACCTGTTGCATGGGAAGAGGAAAGCACCAAATGAACTGCATGTACTAGGACCCATGTAGAGGTACTGGTATGTATTTTTTTTATTTACATACAGAGAGCTTGTCTGTATTGTACAATTTGTGTTTCTTACCATTTGTTGTATTCACAGATACAACATATCAAATAAAATACTCATATGAAAGCATATGGAAACCATAAATAACTTTATGTACAAAATAGCATTGTATCATCCTAAATATAGAGAACTCTCTGTAAATAAGTTGATAAATTCAATTTTCCCCTTTACCATGCCAAAGAAAACTTTAGCTCCTTGATGATACCTCTCTTGCTAATTTTCTGAAAGAAGTTCATCATTCCTTCCCTCAGAAATTAAGTTTGCTATAATTAAGTACAATATGTCATCACTGATGTTCTGTATAGTAAATCTGATGGAACACATTTGTATTTATAGACTGTGTGTTTTATATCTCCCTCTATGTATATCCATTGTAACATGTCTCTAAAAGACCCATTCCTTCTGCATGCACATCTGGTGGGGGAGGGATAGTTCTACCACCTTGTTATGGTAGCTGATTGCTTTACCTATCCATCAACAGTGCTCATTAATATTAGTCTCTTACATAACTCAAGTGTCACAATTTTTGTTTCCAAATAAGTTTGCTTCCTGAAATTTAATTTTTTCCCAGGAATTAATTATGGAAGATACTCAAATAGTCTGTCCTGTGTGAAGTGTAAAAAGTAATTGAGTACCCTTTCCTTATGTATTCTGGAGAATTTGGGATCTGTTTTAAATGTATTCTGGAGAATTTGGGATCTGTTTTAAGTGTTTGCTTATCCTGGGTGCTTTGGAGTGAGGACTAGATCCAAAAAGGATCCCATGACTTTTGCTCTAGTCTTTCTAATTATTGACTTCCCAGCAAGTAAACAGAATGTATCATACGTTCCCTCTTAATTATTAAACTACTAAACCATATATTTTCCCCCAAAGGACCGATATCAGATTTGGTACTTTAAGCAAACAAACCCCAACACATCCTTTGTTGGTCCCTAAAATGAATATGTATTATTTTGTTAAAAAATTTCTTTCAGACATTACATGGATAATAGATATTTGATAGCCCCTGAAAAAGAAGCATGAGATTAGAATGACAAAGTTTCAATTTAAAAGAAACAGAAAATAGTTTAAAATGATTTTCAATTTTATATCAGAAAACAGGCATATCATAGGAAAACAATTAGGCTAAATGTCTAATTATTTTCTAAAATACAGATTTAGTCAAATATAGAATGTAAATTGTATTGTTCTGAAATAAAGGACACAAGGATTGGCTTAAAAAGTAACACACAAATCTATGTGAATATGTGGAATACTGTGTGGGTTTCAAAGTTGTGACAGTTGAGTTTGCAGATTGAGACTGTTGTGGTTTTTGTTTTCCTTGTTCTCGGTTCTCATTTAGTCTAATCTTGATATCTGCTGGTGAGGCTGAGTTTGCTTTTGAGCTGGTAGAGGTAAGTCATTCTTGGTGCTGCTGGAATCCAGATGAACTTAGGATTTCTTAAAGGCAGTAGGAACAATGGTTCTCTTCATATCTTGAGGACTTTTGTTGACTTTTATAATCCCTCTGGAAGGATTCTCCACTCATGGTTTGTTAAACAAGTGCGGTGAGGATCAGAATCATTACCACTGGTGAACCTAATGCCACCTTTTCAATTATCATGGGTCCCAGTGTAATTTTTGAAAATCACAAGCAAACCAAAGAGATTTGCTTACTTTCTCCTACTCATTAAAAATTTGTCCTTGCTCAGCATTTTCAATGAGGTACTTTCTATTTTGGAGTCAAAGTGCAGAATCAAATTAAGGTAGGAGATATATTATGTCTTTGCCTGTCACCATGTTTTTTTGTTTTCGGTTTTTTTTAAACAAAAGTGTGTGTGATTTTCACACACACATACACACACATGTTACAGCAAACAAACTGAAGGTTTTCTAAAGTCAGTTTTCTAAGAAAAAAACTGATTAGAGTTTAGGTTACTGTGAGACATATATTAGCTTCCTTCCATAATTTGTAATAACACACTCCAGAACATGGCAAACTACAACATACTTTCCTGTTGTCTAAATTTTTAAGACACATTTTGATCTTCATGGAATTACCATTTCTCCAATGTTGAACTCTATTCTGAGAACACTTATATGCTAATGATGTTTTAACACTTTTTCTTGTGAAGATTTAAGAACACCACATAATTTTGTGGTAGAAGCTACTGATAGAAATGATAAAAACTAGAGAGAGAATTGTAATAATTAAAAAACACACACCTGGGGTGATGAATGGGATCTGGAGGTAATTCCAAGGGCAAGTCTGGCAAACTATCATGCACAGCTGTGATTAAAGTCAGCCCACAACCTGTTTATGTATGGTTCAGGATGGATTTTTATTTATTACAATTTTAAAATATTAAACAATTAAAGAAAAATCCTACAGTGGTTTATCTAATATCTATTATACATTGTTCACACCTTTAAAGAAGGCTGAGTCCTGCAGTAGGGAAATCAGAAGGTCTTTGTACCATGAGGGAATGGTCATTGACTCTCATGTTTGGATATCACCAAACATATCATCAGAATTGCTACTGAATTATTGTAATTGACTTAAAATGTATATAAAGAAAAGGAAAATATAGAGAAGAGGAAAAACGCAATCATCCATACTATACCTTAACTCCTTATATTTTCTTCATTTTATAAAACTGACATTGATTGCCAGCTCAGTAATAGAAATAAAACCTATATGGCTGGGTCCCCTAATCTCAGGATAGAGGCAACAATTTTATAAATAGTTTAAATTCTCAGAACCTTATTATTACTATAAAACCAGCACCAGTGAAATTGACTCTTCAAATACTTTTCAGTATTTAATTTTTTAAGTAATACAGTGGAGGCATGTTTTCTTTACTTTTGGTGACTTGACTGATAAAGTCCAAGCCATGACTCTAGACTATTTACATTATTAATATAAAATTTGCAAGTAAAATTTCATCTTAAAACAATACAGAAATGATTTTGCTATGTTATTTTAGGATTTTACAAATAATTCACATTTAGGAAAAAGGTATTTTTTTAGCTATAAATAATGGTTGCTTCAAATATGTGTATAAGTAGATCTAACTGTATATATGCAAGGGAACCCCAAATATTGTACATTTTCATAATTCAATGTGAGTTTCATACAAAGCAAAATTTCACCAAGAAAATAAACATTTTGTTCCTATCACTGAGTGAATATTTGTAATTTTGATTTAAGGTATTTATAGATTTTGGAGTCCATTTCTGAACTTCTAAAACAGGTATTGTTCTTTTTGACCCTTCCACTTCTTTGAAGAAAAGGAAGTCTTTTAAGAGCAATGAATGCAGTATGAGGATCCTTGTGTTTCTAACTAGACACTGTTTTCTTCAGAGGACACATTATATGAATCAATTTAAATAAAAACCAGATTTCTTGTACATGTAACTCATGCCTAGTCTTAAAAAACATGGCCTGTTAGTTCCTGGGATCTAAAGTGGGCATTCCAATTCATTTTTATGTCGTGTTCGTTTTCAGTGCATAAATAGATATTGGCACAGAATATAAAAAAAACTTATGTCACTATTTATTAAAATGTCAACTTGTACATTTTTTATTTCTTCCTGTAAGACATTCTTGTGAGTATAAAGCCCTTTTGATCTGGTAAATTCCCACCTATCATTACATGTCATATGTGTCTGTCATTATTTTCCCAAATATGCAAATTCAGAGTCATAAAGAATCCTGGAAAAATTCTACTGAATGGTTTATGTGAGAATAAATATCATCCTTATATTCTGATACAGTGTTTCAGTGGTGTCAGACTGTAGAGTCCTAAATACCATGCAATTTGGCATTTTTCACTACTTATTGGCAAAGATTGGGTATCAGAAAATACTTTGCTGTGAAGGTCTTTCTATTTTCTGTAGAGTTTTCAGCATTGTCTATGGTCACTACCTCTAAAATGCTCATAGCACAAGGACTCCTACCATACCCAGTATGATAACAAAATTATCTGTAGACATTGCCAAATGTCTTGTGGGTTGCAAAATTGTCCTCCTCAGTTGTGAAACACTGATGTTAATTATGGGAGAACAATTCTTCATGGTATAATTTACATCAGTTTGCTAAAGTCATTTCTAATGAAGACCCATATTTCACTCAGGCAGTTAGAAATAGAAAAAATACACAATAGTTTTTCCTACTGCTGTATACACGTTTTCCTCTAAATTTCTAAAATGGCCTAGAAATGAGAATCCAGTTGTCTCCCATAGAATCATTAAGGATATTCAGTGCCAAGCCAGATTTCACATGCATTTCCATTCCATCCATCCCAGCATTCACAGTTTCCACAGCTACAGATTCCATTCCCTGCAACAAAACATGTGGATTAAAATGATGATCAAAAAGCACCATTAGAATATATGACTGTAAATCATAACTGTTCATGAGAAAACCATTCTATTTATCCTCTGTGTTTTATAATACAATGACATTATTATGTTATTAAAAACCTGAAAGAAGTACAAGTTTAAGATACTTAGTGACATCTCTTTGTTGCCATAAGCTGTTAATCAAACAGTACTGACTCTTGCATCACTCAGCTGGGCTCCCATATCAGAATCCTATTTTCTGTTAGTGGACAAACCATGTCTGACTTACAAATAAATGCAGAAAAATATAAAACCCCTTGATATGAAGTTAGGCAGGCCAGAGCGCTAGAAAAATATCTTTGTGTAGTAAAGTGGAGAGAAAAAGTGATTGTCTAATTTAATGTCATGTCAAAATAGTTATCTTTAGCCTTATTAAAATGTTTGATTACAAAACTATTTTGGGTTACTGAAAAAGAATTTATTAATGGTATATTGAATCAAATCGAACACTATTAATATGTGTACATTTTATATTTAAAACAATAACTTCAGCAGAACACATGTACATGTTATTGTTTAACTTGGTTCAGCATTTTCATAGCTAATTGTTATAATTCAATTAATTAGGTTTGTGATGGCCATCACACAGTCAAAGCTTTTGTATACTCTATTGCTGTCTTCCCCACCACACACACATTCACATGTATACACAGCTCCCTAAAACCGGCCAGGATACCTTGTGGCATCTGAGTGCTGCTTAAACAGTAGCCTTCCCCTGGACCATGCTCAAATAAAATGATTGTCGGAAGAATTCTACATTTGCATAATTGCCCATATGTAAGTTTGTAAGGCAGATTACCTTGTAGAAGTTTCCAAACAATCATATAATCTGGCTTCATCCTTTTGCATTCTTCTAGGAGACATGTTAGTGAGTCTTTACAGATGCTCACTTATCCTTTTAGAATGACTACGCGTGTGCATTGCTCACTGGAGCGTATGGGAGCTGCCTTCTCTGGTTATCTAAAGCAGTGTGGTGGGTGCCATTTAGCTCTATTGTCATCCGTGCCACAAAAGGATTAGTTCAGTTTAATACCTGTGCAAATGAGACCATCGTGTTTGTCGCAGTCTCTGTCATCACAGTCACAAAACTCCCCTGAAATATACCACTCTTCCGCAGAACAAATACACTTTCCACAATGGCAAGAACCTGAAATCACAATGGGTATTATTAGCTATTGCGAAAAAAACTAAAGGTTTCCATCAAGAAAAAAAAAAAAAAGAGAATATCATTGAAACAATGACAACAGACTTATAATAACCTATCTTCTAAAGGTAAAAGTTTATCGAACAACTGCTTTCACGAGCGAAGGCTTTACTTACTCAAATACATAAAGGTCATTCAGGAAAGCCTTCATTATAGATCTAGACAGTTGCAATTAGCCTGGAGCAAATGTTCCTTGGTCCAGTCTGGCTGAAATGTCAATGGAACAGGATATTGCTCATCCTTAGAGATCCTCTCCCCAAAAGGTATTCAAAATAGACATTTTGTTTCATCCTTTTTTAATTGAATTGCATTTCAAAGTTCCTGTTATCTAAAGGAATCCAGTACTAAATTATATTAAATGAAGATTCATTTTGTAATTTAATGACGACTAAATTATTATCTTATATTTTTTGCATGATTTTCTTGAAATGGGGATACACGAACTTCACACTGAGTGGCAAGGTGAAGTACTAAAAATTCAGACACAATCCCTTATGTCTGATTGATGTCTCAGACCTGCCCTTCAGGATTTTATCTAAAATCAGAAAAGTCCTAATAAACCCAAAATGGGGTCCAATCAAATTTCCTACCCTTTAATAATTTTCTTTCTGGTTACCTCTAACCTAATTTTAAAACAACGAAAACTATTTAGTTATTGAAATATTTTGGGTAACCAAGACTCTTACTAATAGCATATTTAAAATAAAATAAGGTTTGTGTTATTTCAAGAAGAAATTTCTCAGCCCAAATATCTTCCAAGACGGGCTTTGAAGATCATGCAAAAAGCTGCTCTTGCTATAGCTAGAAGGACAATCGCAGAATTCAAAAGGACTTTTCCATTTCCTCATTTGGCTTTTCTTTCTGGACACAAATTCTGTTTACTAAAAGATACTGAAAAGTATTGCGAAGTTACTCAAGTGACCAATCACCTTGAGGAAATGTGAAATAGACAATCTTTTAAAGCAGTTAGCAAAACCCCAAACTCATTAAGTTCTGAATACCGAGAGGAGACTCAGGGGTGTTCTGAGAACTCAGGGGTGAATTCCTCCTGAAATAGGGTGTCTGACGAATGATTAACAACCTGGGAGCACAGAGAGCAGAAAGCCTGGGACTGGGGAACACTGTCATCAATATCATGGAAGAATTCAAGTTAAAATGTCCTAAGCATTAACTGCTATATGAGTTCATGACGTGGAAAAGGTATATGCACTCGAGGTGAAGGAATCTCCCACAACCAAATTTCATTTTGGCCTTTCCTCGTCACACATCTCAAGACAAGTGATCAGTCAGAACTAGCTATAATGTGACAGTTGTGTTTATATTTATCGTCTACTTATTTGTTAGGTGAAACACAATGTTACTTAGTATTTACCTGTTTTACTGAGAGTCTGGGTTGACTTGCAGACTTTAGGGCAATATATGAATATCTACGACTTTTGTAAAGTGATTGACAATGTGGTGGTTGCCTAGGACCTTATCTGCTGGTCGAGTGGGAAAGACATAAGAGCCTCATAAATTCTCACCTAGGAAGAGTGTATACTCCTTTTAGAATTAATTTTACCTAAATTTAAATATTTTGTTTAAAATTTCTAGACATGGAAATGTTGAACAATCAATTGTTTATTTAACAAATGGTAAATGAAATACCTACATAGGCACTCCATTGTCTATCACAGATATACCCCCTCAAAGAAACATCATGCTTAGTGGCTTATTTCCATTATAGAAGAAGGATTAACTATTTAAGGAATTAAACATTTCTGTTTCTTATATAGTATCTCTTATATCATGAAGTTATTTCCGCAATAGAAATAAATGACTTTATATATTTATGATATTAATATAATCACACCTAGGATGCCTTTTCATGTGTATCATAATTCTTACAAAGAGTTTACATTTCATCTTTGAACTTATCTCTTGCCTGGAAATGATTCTTATTACTTCTTTTGTTTCTGGAATGCTTAGATGCAAAGCATAGCGAAGTATTTTCCTGAGATGAGCACGCTCAGCTAAAGTCAGTGTGGTATATGTAGACTGAATAATTGACAAGCAAATTATAGCTCCAAATATAGTAGATGTCATAAAGTGTTTAGAATAAAACTGGGATTTGATTTTGTGTATGCTATGGAAGTAATCTTCCTGGTCACCACAATAATCCCAGGTGTGTTGTTTCTCTGTTGATGATTGGTAGGAAATTCTTCTACCCCCTCCAAAAATAGGAACAGCATAGCATGTGGTACTAACACAATGTATGTAGTCATTAGAAACTATTATAGATCTTTATTGTAGAGAGCTCTGGCTGTTCTCATAAATAACCAATAACGGGGGTGGATTATCTGTATCTAGAAAGGGAAAAGCCTGAGAAGATCCTGTTTAACAAATGTAAGCTTACTGAACACCTCAAAGTGAGCAACTCAGCAGGCTAGAACCCATTCCCATTAGAGGCTCAACCCAGGTGTAGGCTGCAGTTTGCCCAGCCTGTCCGGAACTCTAGGGTGATAAATCTGCAGCTACCATTAACCCATTTGTTTTATTCTCCAAAAGGACTCTTAATCATGTTCCTATTTTCCTTTGTGCTTTTTCCTGGCTTCATTATTGAGAAAATTTTTCATCTATTTGTAGAACATTCTGAAGAACTAAGGAGGAGAAAGAAACAAACTTCATTTGAAGATGAGAATGGACTGGTAGAAAGAAAGGATGGGGGAATTGCCTCAGACGGCATTCCAAAAACAGTTAATAATATCTCAGTCTGAATCAGTTCACCATTTAGTCACCAATTTGTGATGACTGTCAGAACAAAAACATCCACATAGTTTCATAAGTGAGCAGTTCTTGCTTACAGAGTTGACTAGCAGCCATACTGGGCATGACATCTAGGACACTAGGATAAGTTTAGTCTTGAAAGTTTAAGTTTTTCCCATTCTCTGTTGTGAGGATAAAGAACAGGGGTAGTCGAGAAGCAGATAGATGAACGAGGGTACTCTGGACTTGCTAATGGTGTGGGTGCAGCAATATCACTGTGTCAGTTCAAGGATATATTTAAGGGCTTGTCCCATAACGTATCTCTGACTATTGGAGTGATTACTTGGATCTAAAACAATGTTATTAAGACAAACATATTACTGTGCCACCATGGAACCAAATAAATAAATAAATAAATAAATAAATAAATAAATCCCCAAACCAACCAACAACAAAACCACTATAAATTTCACTATATATTCTACAAAGGTAGCTAAACTTAGTGGCAACATGGCCACTAAGCACATTTCTCTTGGTCATTTACAAAAACAATTTCAGCCTGGGATCAAGGCCCCATTCCACCGCTGACTTTCTTTTTCATACATCAAGCCTGACAAAATGCTGCAACCCTAACCCCAGCAGGCAGTTTTCACTATTGTACTAATGACGCCATCTGTTCTGAAGGTCACAACGATGTATCTTGTTTTAAATTTTTCTATGGAGTGATTTATTGTCTTGGCTATAAATTTGTAAGAAATAAAATGCTATTTCTTCATCGTCTCCTGAAGTGAAGGCTTTATTCACAGTTCTTAGCAAATGCATAGTTCAAGCCTGTCATATTGGTGGAGGCGGTGACAAAGTATCATGGTATGCAGGCACAGGCTGGTCCCTGGCTCACACCTGTCCCATAAGAAGAAAAAAGTGTCTGTACACTTTGGTATCACCAGAATAGGGCTTTTCCTACATGAATTTTGTAAGATTATATTAGTCAATTAGATTCATCAGAGATACAGAGTGAAAGGGTGTGAGAAAAGAAAGCTTCCTTTCTCATTCACCATCTTGAAATTCCCCAGTCCCTCACAAGCTGTACTTTTACTGTGATTCTTGGAGGCAGGGAATTGGACATTTCTCTCCGTGGAGCCCCTAACACCCTTGTTATCCTCTGTAACAAAGAAAAATTATAGCTGCAAGAGCTCAGCCCCAGCCCCTTTCTTCTATACCCACCATGAGGCCTCCAGAAAGGAGGAGAAGAAGAATTTCACCACTTTTTGCCTATCACTTATGTGAGCCATGAAAACCAGAATGGAAAGCCTTGGATAAACTTTACATTGTTCTTTAAATTTAGCCATGCCCGGGCATCCTCTAGGATCTCAAAGGCCAATGACCTGTGATTAAACTCACACCACCCAAAGCATTAATTGGGAAAGCATTAAGTAGGAATTGGTGTTTGGTTCGGTTTGAGGATATTTAATCAAATTTTGCATTCTTTTTCTTTTTAGAAAAAAATTAATTCATTAAAACCTATGTATGTGAATGTTCAGTGAGCATGAGAGGAAGGGCCATGCAGGTGAGAAGATGATGTCTCATCCCCTGGACTGAGTGTTAAAGGCAGTTGAGAGCCAACCAATGTGGGTATTAGGAACCAAACTCTGGTTGTCTGCAAAAGCAGTAAGGGTCTTAACTACTAAGGCCTCTCTCCCCATCATTACTCAACGTTTTTGTATTTTCTATATGCAAATTACCTAGCTGAAAATTCTGAATCAACCCAATTGCTTATATATTTTATGGAATAATTTTGCATAAAATTAATTTAAGAGAGTAAATGGACTGTAACTCACTGCATTAGTGAGTATAACTTTCTGTATCCTTATGGAATTTACAACTGGACATGACTCAGCCAAAAGCTATTTATGGTAAGTTTCTACATATAAATATTTTAAAATTACACCTGGGATTTTAATATAAAAGGAATCTTCTTTTGGTAAAGCTTTTGTGAAAACTTAGGAGCGTTCCATCTTTTACACAGACAAAGAGGATTATAGCACCTAGTTCTCACACCTGTTGCTGATGCTCAGCTTTCAGGGTTAACACAAGCTGAATGCCTTTCCTCAGGCAAAGTTCATTCTGGCCAAACTGGTTGCTACTTGCTGTTCTGAAAGACCAGGTGTCTCAGCAGGGATGCAGCTCCAGCAGTGATACTCACCCTTCCCTGAGCACAACATGCCATCTGCTGACTCACACAAACTCTTGCTTTGTTCTTCTGTCATGTTACACTTCCGTGGGTGTTGGCAGAGCTTGCCAAACCATCCTTTCTCACAAACACAATGACCACAGGAGCATGTGCCATGGCCTGTGAACCAAACATAGATGAGAATAAGAGGAAGACGTGACTAAATGTGCAGAAAAATTAGTTTATAAATAGAGCGTGTAAATCATAGGATCTCATCTATCGTCAGACATACTTTCCTTATACATACAACATTCTTATACATACATCATTGTGTAAAACAGCATCCCAACAACAATCTAGCTTAGCATGAAAAATTTGGATGTTGTATAGGAAAAAAGCATTCGAGAAAAAATTGAAATTATTGAAAATGGCATTGTGAGTTCTTTCTTATTTGCGTTTCTATCAGCATGTTGTTTGTGTCGCTCTTCACTGTGCAAAGCATTATACTCAGTTCAATTTTGAAGGCTAGTCACGTCATCGCTGCTTGCAGCAATTGTTAATTGCTCTCCTGTGGCTTACTAATAAAAACAAAAGATATTCCTAATGATTTTACCTTTTTACATTCCTCTTCATGAACAAGAGCAGATAAAGCATAAATACTCATGTCTTTTATTAGTGTATCAAAGTTAAAAATTGCATGAGACTTGTGTTCTCATTTGACCTCCTGTCTTTGTTTTTTGTTTCTGATGTTTATTCCTGTTTTTTGAGATGTTTATCCTTTAAGATGAAACACTATGCTTGTGACAGTTATACAGGGGTGTATAGTCCTCTCTACCTGTGTGTAAGCAGACATCTACTGTACTTCTGAGTTTTTCAATTTAGTTTTTTATTTCTACCAAGTGCTTTTTTTCTTTCCTGATAGCCACACCTTCTTACAGAAAAATCACTCTCTGAACCAGTTATTTGCCTGGAAATGATTTCTCAAGTACCTATTATGAACAGAATATGGTGCCAGGGACCATAGCATAGGAAAGGAAAGATGAAGGCTGAAAGATGATCCCGCTGTGTTTACAAGGACTTGTATCACTGTCGTCTATACTGACTAGTGTTTATGGATCTACAGTCACCATTCTTTTTTAAATATGTGTTCTGAGACTCCTTTCTGCATATAGAAAGATTAATGGACAAGACTCTTTTGTTGAAAATTCATTATTATGATCAATTTAACATAACCACTTATGAATCCAGGTAGTGATTTTCCATAGCTTGACAGTCTCAAAGTTAATGGGAAGCAGATGAGAGACAAATTTAAAATAAATCTGAACAAAGACATCTATTCCCAAAAGTCTTTCCTCATTCATTAAATGTTGTGATGTCATAGCCCATGAACTCAGGTGTCGTCTCCAGCTTACAGACAAGAAGTTGAATGTTGTGGGAACTCCTTCAGACAATAGCCTTTAAGATACCAGCCCACTTTGGGTGTAGTCTCATGCACTATAAGTACAGGTGAAAAGCATATGTGGTTCCTTTATTTTCTACTGGATTTGGTTCCCAGTTCCCAGCACATATAGACGTCTGCAGACTGCTACCTTTACTGTGAGTTTATCTTCAAATTAGTAAACCTTTGTTATACTCCACTGTTGCAAGGAACTGCTTGTTCATCCCGGCAGCCCAGAACTGAAATAATCACACAGAAATTGTATTAATTAAATCACTGCTTGGCCCATTATCTCTAGCTTCTTATTGGCTAACTCTTACATATTAATTTAACCCATTTCTATTAATCTGTATATCACCACGAGGTCGTGGCCTACCATCAAAGTTTCAGTGCGTCTATCTCCAGCGGCAGTGCCTTCATGGTGTCCCCTGACTCCACCCTTCTCTTTCTCCCAACATTCAGTCTAGTCCTTCCGGCCTATCTAAGTTCCGCCCTATCAACAGGCCAAAGCAGTTTATTTATTAATGGCAATCACAGCACACAGAGGGGACTCCTACATTACTCTATTCAGGGCTATTGTGGAACTCTTTGGTACTATGACAGGTGAACCTCTAAATGCTATGCTATTATGTTTCACGTTATACTTCAAATACTGTAATCCAGTCACACAGCACCAGAACTCGGCTCTAGTTGCTCGGATTTCATAGTCCTCACACCTTCCATGGCAGCACAGCATCTTTCTCTTTAGGAAAGGAACTGCCTAGTCATGTTTTCTTAACAAATGTCTTTTTAACTTCTACATCATCTGCAGGCTTGTACTTGGCTCTTTCCCCTTTCAAGTCTCATCACAACTAGTTTACTTATGCCCTCTGACAATCCACCTAGGTTTTATCCTCATGCTTGTTTTTGTGATCTAATAGACAACCTCCGCTAAAGAACAAGCAACTTTCAAAACTACAGCAATGACAGAGTCATCTGGCTGCTAGGACAGTCACCCCAAGGTGTTGTGGGATATCTTTACACTGTGAACAAGTACTGCTGTGATTGGGGTAATTAAATGTTGAGTGTTGGAGTTAAAACCTTCCATTCTTATTCAGACAAAAGAGGGAAATGTTGCAGAATATTCCTTCATACTATGTAAAGATGTGTCACTGTGTTTGGTTTAATAAAGAGCTGAATGTCCAATAGCTAGGCAAGAAGAAAATAGTCAGGACTGCCAAGGACATAGAGGACTCTGGCAAGAGGAAAGGCGAGGACGCTAGCAAACTCAGAGCATGTCAGACATTACATACTAAGAGAGGTAGCCAAGCCACGTTGCAGAACATAGATTAGAATATGGGTTAAGTTATAAGAACTCCTTAGAAAAGAGCCTAAGCTAAAGCCTATAGGTTTCATAAGTAATAAGAAGTCCCTGTGTCATTATTTGAGGCTGGCAGTCTGGATGACAAAGTTTATTACATCTCATCGCCTTTCTTTAGTTGTGTTTACTTATATGTTTATAGTCTTTTTAAACAATTAACCAAACCATGAAATTTTTGTGTCTTTATCTGTCTTCTGTCTCTCTCTCTTTCTTTCTGTGTGTTGTGTGTACATACATGCATACATGTGTGCATATGTTCCTGGGTGTGCATGCATCTGTGTGTGTGTGTGTGTGTGTGCTGTACCTGAAGGAGTTGGAAAAAGCTATGAAGTGTTGGGAACAGAATCTAGTCCCCTAGAGGAATAACAAGCACTCTTAACCAATGAACCCTCTCTCCATCACCTACAACTGCACCTTACTTTTTGAGACAGAATGCCTCCCTGACCTAGAAGATTACTGACATGGCTAGCCTGCTGGCCTAGAAGGCACAGGGATCCTTATGTCTTTGCCTTTCTAAAAGTTGCTTATGCTATTGTCCCTGCCTTTGACACTGGATTGGAGATCAGACTTAGGTCATCATACTTTCACTACAAGTGCTTCACCAACAGAGCCATTTACCCAAACCAAGTCATGAGATTTCTGTTAACTATAAAGATTTCAGGACTGTTCCTCTAGGCACATAAATCCCCTGAGGCCCTGTTCCTATGACTCCCTACTTGCTGTTCTGTTTCCATGGAACCTGCTTAATCTCACTATGAAATGTTCTTTCCAAAAGTGATCCTTTTGTATTTTCCAATTCTTTTAAATGCACAGCTGTTCTAGATGCTCAGTTCAAAATGTTTTGAATAAATACTGAATGTCTTTAATTTTCCCCATAAAGAGAGCTGTCAAGTACTGTTAGTAGTACCTACAACATTACATCATAAACCTTTGAGATACCTCCCTGCCAGATTTCACATTCTTGCTCACAATACCCTAGCCCACACTTTTCATGTCACAGCTATCCTGCTAGTCCTATGGGATTCCCTATTGTTCAACCAGGAGGTCCTTAATATTCATTAGATTTTTAAAAATCAGAACTCTAAGCTACTTTTCAATCTTACTTTGTCTCTCCTCCTTTTAATATTACTGACCCTATGCATCTCATACTTGCTGGAGAAAGAATGCCTTCCTATCCTAATATATTCAGGCCCTACCTAGCCTAAAAATCTCAGCAAATGACTGAGTACACTTGCATAAAGAATTCTATGATATCTACAAGTAGAAATCATTTACGCCCCTCTGAGATTATTTTCTGAGTATGTGTGTTACTTGGATTCAAAGCTAAGACAAATACATATTTTTCAGCATTTTATTCTACTCTGAACTACATCTTGAGCCTTCCTTGGAAACTTCTTTATGATTTTGTTTCTGACTTTGCATGGAAATCTCTAGTGTCGAGAGAGGTATTCTGCAATTAATTAGGATATCACTGAGAAAAGGTCAATAGCTCCTCACAGAGAAAAATATATTATGAAATTTGTGTGGAAGAAAAAGGATTCATATTTGCCATTTATTAGCTCTTTTGTCACAGTGTTTTATAAAGTAAAATTGGCAAGTATGCCAGACAATCATCAAATCATTGGCATTTACATTTTGATTTGTCATTTATATGCAACTTCCCTTTAGTTAAAATCTTAATCAATTTTTAAAGAGTATTCTTAATGTGACTATAATTCAGTTATCAATTCTAGAAATGTCTGCACTGGGTATTATACTATCAATTTTGAATATAGTAGAGTAAATGAAGTATTGGCCCTGTTTTCATGGCATTTACAGTCTATTAGGGGTAAACACATGCCACAGCAAAATATACAGTTGGGTTACTGGAGCTTAAGGAGGTTGTCACTGTATTCAACAGTGAGAACAGGACAAACAAAGTATTCAGAGAAATATTTAGCAAAACAAGTTATGAGAAGGGGCCAGGAAGCTAATGTTCTAGGAATGGAGCCTAGAAATCCTTGGGACAAGAAAGAGCTGGGCACATTTCAGGCAGTGAAGGCCAACTGTTTGAAGAAAAATGATTAAACGATTAATCAAACTGAAGTGAAGTTCTTAACAAGTTTGCTGTGGGACAATGGTCTTTTATCCTGTCACTTGTATTATTTTAATAAAACACTCATTGACCAGTAGCCAGGCAGGGAATACAGGTGGGGTTACTAGGCAGGAATTAGAGACAGAGACAAGAAAAGGAGAATTCTGGGAAGAGGAAAGCTCAGTCTGCAGTCATCACCCAGACAGAGAGGAAGCAAGATGAGAATGCCTCGTGTAAAAGTACCAAGCCACATGGCTAACACAGACAAGAATAATGGGTTAATGTAAGATGTAAGAATTAGGTGATAA